AGCCTTCTGGTTAGCAGTCAAGTGCCTTAGGCACTATGCTACCAGAGCTCCTGTATGTCATTTTACACAGGTATATACTATAAATTAAATTTCTGGACGTAGAATTACTGGACCAAGAAGTAAATGCACTTGTAATTAAATAGAAATGAAAAATTAAAGTCATTTTTTTACATATTTTTCTTACTGTGTTTTTCTTAATGAAAAAGTAGGAAGTTGAGAGAAATGAAGGAAAAGATAGCCACCTGCACAAAAAGAAAATAGAAATCAGACATGATTCCATTAATAAAAATGAGAACTCTTACCACTTGATGCTTATTCCTCTGAACGTTTCTTGCTGCATAGAGTTCTTCAATTTATTTTGAGGCCAGAAGCTGGGCTGAACACGGTGTAGGAAAAAAATTGGCATCTCTTTCGTTTCTTTTTTTTTATCAAAAGCTATCCTAAAATAGTTAATGAGTGTTAAATTCATTTAGAATCAGAAAGAAATTTTTAAAAATAATGGAGAATGGGTCAAATGAAAGCTGTAGATAGTGCATTCTTTTTTCTTATTTATTTTGCATATGATAAACTCTTTGTTGCAGATCTGAGAGGAATTTCTTTTTAAGGCCCTATGTTTGAAAAATAAAGATTCAGTTTTTATATAAATTGGTTCAATTAAGAATTAGTTTTTAAAAGCAAGAAAGCTCTTTTGTTTTAACTTCAGGTATTTAAAAAAAACACAAAAAACCCAAACCCATTGGCATGAAGTTGATTCTGACTCATTGCCACCCTCACTGGGTTTCCAAGGTAGTAAATCTTTATGGAAGTCGATTGCCCCGTCTTCCTTTTACATTGTGGCAGGTGGGTTTGAACTGCTAACCTTTTGCTTAGCAGTCAGATGCCTTAGGCACTATGCTACTAGTGCACCAGAGCTCCTTAACTGCAAGTACTAACCAAAAAAATCAAATTCAGCTGCCATCAAGTTGATTCCGACTCATAGCGACCCCGTTTGGGTTTCCGGGGTGGTAAATATTTACAGAAGTCGATTGCCCGGTCTTCCTTCTGCAGAGTGGCTGGTGGGCTTGAACTGCCAACCTTCTGGTTAGTGGTCAGATGCCTTAGGCACTATGCCACCAGCCCAGCTAATAAAAAATGCTTCTGGCTCTGCTAGGAGTAGTACTGTCAGACCTGATCTTATTTAAATTCTTGATCACCATCACATTGTTTAGTTATTTGGTACACCCTGGACTCAGCTGAGAACTCCCCAGGCTCAGGACCCTCCCCCTTTTGTTCGTAATATCTCATTGCCTTGTAGAGGACTAATCCAGGGAATGCTTATTGAGTTAATAAACGCAGTGATTTAGACGTTTTCTGATCATTTGCTGTGTCTGTGTTGTTTCTAGGAGCTCTGGTGGCATAGTGCCTAAGGCACTTGACTGCTAACCAGAAGGCTGGCGGTTCAAACCCACCAGCCACTCCTCGGAAGGAAGGTTGGGCAATCTACTTTCGTAGTGATACTGCCTCGGAAACCCAAGGAGAGGTCTCTGTGAGTCGAATCTGACTCAACGGCAGTGAGTTTGGTTTGGGTTTTTTGGTTTGCGTTGTTTCTAGATATCATTTATTAGGATTTTGTTCTGCAGTTTATCATTATTACAAACAAGATCAGTTATTGTCAGTACATTACTCTTCTGGGTATCTTACTTTTTATCTTCATGTTACGTGTCTTTGTCCTAATGACTTTTGTTCATTAATAAACTGGTATTAAATAGTAGCTGGTATCAGAGGAAACACAATAACTCTTTGAGAGCATCTCTCTTCAGGCTGTACTCTGCATTTGGAATTGGCTTTTTGAAAACTCTTTTAACTTTCACACAGGTAACTAGAGGAGGAGATTTGAAGTGACTGAGGTGATTGGAATATGAGAATACCAACTTCACATAAAGTGCCGAATGATCTCATTGTCCAGACCTGTAATTTCTTTCAGGAGGAGGCAAAACAGATTCAGACTCTGCAGAAAGCCGGCAGCCGTGCAGACTCCCGGGAGGATGAAATCTCTCCTCCTCCCCCCAATCCTGTGGTTAAGGGCCGGAGGCGACGAGGTGCTATCAGTGCTGAAGTCTACACGGAGGAAGATGCTGCCTCATATGTTAGAAAGGTACTTTGGATCCCTAAACATTGGTGAAATGTTAGTGGAACCTACATGGTAGTCATCTGGTCTCCTTGGATGGATGCATGCCTGCACTGTTGAGAGTAGTGAAACATCAAATAGGATGACTCTTACTCCACCTGTGCCGTTTTTTAGACCTGTGGGGCAGTTTCTGTACCAGAGTGCCACAGGAGATGTTAAACCAGTGAATGATGGGATTGGAGACATTGTCTTTGCTGCCCTTTGTACTGCAGAAGCAGCAGCAGGTAGCACCCATTTTCTCTTGAATTGGGGTGTCAGTTTTGGACACCCGGTACTTCATTTGTGACTTTCAACCTTTTATCCTGTAACCTTCATTTATCCTAATCTTCCTCATTCTGGGTTAAGCTATTAACCCTAAAGCAGACCAGAATTGTGCTGGTGTGTGAGGCTTGTGGAACTAGTAGTATAGACCACAGTTTTAAACATGACTAATTGCCCTGAAATACTTAGTTTTGTGACCTTGATCAAGGTTTGCTTTTATTTTTCTTTAGTTGTTAGCTGGAAACCAGATACTAGCCTTTAAGTACAGATCTGCTTATAGACATGGGGATTAATTAGTCAATATTTGTTCAGTACTTTGTGGATCAAAGACAGTACAAGTTTGTTGTAGTGAAAATATTTAACTGAAAGCAGTCTTGTTTAAATGCATTAATGTACCTTGACATTTAATTGAAATGCAGATTATGAAGTTTTTGGTTTATGGAATTATCATTTGACCTTCAATTCTTTCCTAGGTTATACCAAAAGATTACAAGACAATGGCTGCTCTAGCCAAAGCCATTGAAAAGAATGTGCTCTTTTCACATCTTGATGATAATGAGAGAAGGTATGTACAGGTTTGTTCTTATGCTGTTTTTTTCCAGTAAGGCTATAGTCCAGAATTCTTCTCATCATTGTCACAAATTTTAAGGCTCTTGGTAATCATTCATCTGATGACCATCCAGGTTGAAAATCTGGCACCTTTAAGTCTAAAGCTAGTGTTGCAAATCCACCCAGTAGACGTGTGGAATGTGACATGAGGCTTCTCTCTTGCAGTGATATTTTTGATGCCATGTTTCCGGTCTCTTTCATTGCTGGAGAGACTGTTATTCAGCAAGGTAAGGGCTGCTGTTTCTCTGACCTCCAGTGTTGTCGTGGGGAGGACGTGAAAAGGGAGGATTTCTTGGTTTGATTTTATTGAAGGTGTTTTTCCTCCTTCATCCTGTCATCTTCCTCTGTTACACTATGAGTTTTTCCTGTTTCTGATTGTGAATTAAAATCCTCTGAGCAAAAACGCACAGTCTTTCCTCAGGGGGCTAGTATTCCCCTTGCATCTGTGATTACCATTAAAGGAAATTCTGTGTTTTTATTCTGAATGTTGTATTGAATTTTATAGAGGTATGGTGTATATGTCCTTTACGTTGATTATTAATCATTTGAAAAATAAAGTAGGAAATAACCCATGTTCTTCACCATGTAGACTGTCTATTTCCAAACTTCTTGTTGATTTTTAGATTTCTGCCTACATGCACTAACATGAATCTGATCTTTCGGGTATCTGTCTTGTCTTATTTACTTGATATTTCATGGGTATTTATAAACCATCTATATGCCCATGCAGTGACAACCTGATACCTTGCTACTTCATCGTTTGTGTTATTTTGGGGCTTTTTTTGGTGGTGGTGGTGGTCTTGACTCAGGAATGTCCTGTACACATATGTAGTTCCCCCCACACCCGAGGTATTCTTCACTATGAGGTGATAATATAAAAATCAATCAGTTTTAAGACTTCAAATGTACTGCTGGATACTTACTTTCAAAGGACCACTATAAGATAGGTTTAGTATTTTACATTAATAGTTTTAATTTGTGTTTCCTTATTTGAGATACACTTAACTTTTTGCTTTCCTTTCTTGTAGGTGATGAAGGTGATAACTTCTATGTGATTGATCAAGGAGAGATGGATGTAAGATTTAATAAGAGCAAAATTAGGTCACTAATCTTAAAAGTCAGTGCATAATTTTTTTTTCCCCCATCTAAGGAACAAGAGCAGTATCTGAAGGACTGCATATGGCCTTTGTGTGTCTCACTTAGTAGTGCTTGCATCTTCTACACCTTTTGCGTTGCATTTTAATGACACAGAGACGCTTTTTCAAAATGATTTCTTTAGGCCTACATGCAGTTGAAAAGCTTGGCTGTAGTTGCGGTGAGATGGGATTCTGTGGAATAGAACAAGCCTGGGGAGAGCCCAGATCCAGCCACGAGTAGTTAGGAGACTTAGGACCACTCTTAATTCTGTGAGGCTTGTGTACCATGAAATAGGGATAAAAATAGCGTTGGTCTCATAGAACTGAGACAATGCAGTGACCTAATGTAAGTAACATACTTAGCACAATACTCTGTATGATTCTTCTTACTATTAGAGTAACCGTTTCCCTTTGGTTATCTCCAGAGTACTTTTTCCTATTAGGTAATTAAATTAAGTAGGTCACAGACACTCTTACCTCATTTAACTCAGCTTTGCTCTTCTGTGTACTGAAAGCTTAATGTATTTTAATTTTTGAACACAGTTCAGGATTCTGACTCCTTAAAAAGGTGTGTGGGTTTTTAATTCTCATGTGTTTGTGTATGTAGAAAAAGGACAATTCTCTGGTGTCACTTGCATTTCAGGTCTATGTCAACAATGAATGGGCAACTAGTGTGGGAGAAGGAGGGAGCTTTGGAGAACTTGCTTTGATTTATGGAACACCCAGAGCAGCCACTGTCAAAGCGAAGACAAATGTGAAATTGTGGGGTATTGACCGAGACAGCTATAGAAGAATCCTTATGGTAAGACACCATGGCTTTGTGGAGTGTGGTTTAGAATCCCTGCCTAAGTAACCAGTGTTTGAGTAACAGTGTTACCAGATTAAAATGAGAATATCATTTACTTTTTGTAATAAAATGCTTTGTAGTAAGCCCAATATAGCATGATTCCGTATACCCTTTGAGATACGATCTTTTAGAGTGGAAGTTTGGCCAGAAGTAACATGAGAAACAAAATAGGTCTGTGTAATGGTCACCACATGTTTGGAAATCTGTCCATTTGCCAGTAGGCACATCTTAACCTACCCTGATGCTTGTGTGTCACAGCCTGATTGGTGCTGCTTTTAAGTGCACAAAGTTATTTAAGGCCCCTCAGAAGTAATCAGCTTCTTTTTAACTGTGAAAGTGGAATATCAGTAATGCAGATGGCATGTTCCTGCTCACTAAAGGAAAATTAACAAATAATAAAACCACTGGGACGTTTCTGCTGTGATGTAGCAGGCTTTCTGAGAACTGGGTAGGAATGTGTGGTATATCTTTGGAAGTTTAAGTCCCAGCTAATGGCATTAGTCATTCTGAATGGTTTCCTTAACTTTGTGCAGTGCTTGTCTGGCTGTTTGAAAGTATGCATGTGTATATGTGTATACAGGCAGCCCTTGGGTCAGGAATGAGGTCCATACCTAACTGGCTTTAAGAATTTGTAGCTCAGTCCGAACAGGTCTGTACCATTCTTGTTTAGGCTTGCTTTAGTGCAGGAGGTTCAGAGCTTTTTCAGTGATCTGAAAGCGGCACATGCAGCAAGTGAAGGTAATAGTGTGAAGAATTTGTTGTGAGTTGGGGTGGTGGAGGGGCTTGGTTCAGTTGTTTCAAAGCAGGACTTTGAACTGGTTCTTGCCAGTTCTGTCACGGTTGAGAAGGCAAAGATGACAGCACCACTTTGAATATGGGTGGCTCTCCACAGTCCTGCCGATAATCGGTCTCATGATAGACTCCTGAAGGGGCACACTGTACCTGTTCTGAGTCTCCTGTTTCAGGGCTTCAGCCTGTAATTTTTCCCATTCTGATTACTGTGCTGAATCACCCAAATTGTAAAAATTCATGTCTGTTCCTTTTTCACTTTGTTGGACAGGACAGAAGTGGTTTTTGAAGCCCTGCATTAAAGGACAAGTAGGAGTTGTTTGTGGGTTAAATGTTTGTGACCTGGGGACTTCCGTACATACACATGATTTTCTTCCTCTGATTCTTCAGATATGTTGAACTGTCTTTGCAGATAAGACAGCTTAGCTAAGTTTGGGGTTATGGCCCCTCATTTTTCCCTCCAAGTGGCAGCAGTTTATATTAGTTTCTTACTTCTGTGGGGTATTGGAGTTTCAGGGAAGGACTTTGCCCTGGGAATATATTCAGCTAGAATCACATATATTAGTTGGGATTTTTTTTTTGGGGGGGGGAGAACTGATAATTTATTTAAAATTTCACCAGTTTGATGGTATTAGGAACCTTCTGTAAGGAGTTCTGATAGCATAGTGCCTAAGACATTTGACTGCTAACCACAAGGTTGGCAGTTCAAACCCATCAGCCACTTGTGGAAATAAAACTGGGCAATCTATTTCCGTAGAGCTTTACCACCTTGGAAACCCAGTTGGTGTCACAATGAGTTGGAATTGACTCCATGGCAGTGAGTTTGGTTTTGGTTTTTGAGGAACCCTCTGTGGTCATATGCCTGGTTTTCCTTTCAGTAGGAACAAGCTACTGAGGGCTTTTTTAGAGAGTTGAATGGGGGGCCTCATCATCTTCAACATGAAGAAAAATAACCTCACATCAAAAAGAACTTCTTAGAATGGATAACCAAGCTATGGTACATACACACAATGGAATACTATGCAACACATAAAAATAATACAGAATCTGCAAAACACCACATAACATGGATGAACTTGAAGGACATCATGCTGAGTGAAATAAGTCAGTCACCCAAGGACAAATATTATATTAGTTCATTATTGTAAAAAGTCAAGGCACAGTTTATGTGTGGAAAGAAACATTCTTTGTTGGTTACCTGGGGTAGAAGGAGAAGGGAGGGAACACTGCAAAAATAATAAATGGGGGGGGACTTCCTTAATTTTGTTTATTAACAGCAAGCTACAATTCACCTAGGGTTTTTTTGTTTGTTTGTTTCTTTGTTTGAACTTTAATGTTTATTATTTCACAGCATTATGTGATAATTACACATTTTTGAAATAGATTTTTTTTTTACTTTTTCTAATTATAGGGAAGCACACTGAGAAAGCGGAAGATGTATGAGGAGTTCCTTAGCAAAGTGTCTATTTTAGGTGAGTTTTGGAAGACTGCGTGGAGAATTGTTAGAAGGGTTAGTGATACTTCAGCAGAGCTTACTGTGCTCTGTGCATAAAAACCTTCTCTAGTTATCTTCACTCATGCTTTTGTTCGCTAATAGTAATGAAAAATACGTGGAATTTTTGACAGTCAAAGCTTTAACTAAACTAGGAATAATTTTGACAGTATTGAGTTTACGAGTACATGAGAAGCCTGTGGATTAGAAATGATGGGACTTGAGAAAAGCCTTCTGGGATATGTGCTGATCAGTTCTTCTTGAGGAGACAAAGGCTGCCAGTGTCCTGGCCGGTCATTACCAGGTCATCACGCTGTGACCTCTGACTTTGATGCTTCACCAGTGAGTCCATTGGCTCAGGAGAGAGAGTATTTGTAAGAATGCACTTTCTCTGTGGGAAGGTGAAGTGTCCTTTGGTGGCATCTTCTGAAAAGATGCCTGGAATTTGTTGAAGTTTGAAATAAAGCCAGATAATTGGAGATATTTTTGTGTATTTTCTTATATAAACTTGGAGACATTGTGAGAAACTGTTTTTTCATTGGGAGGGAAATGGCCACGTTGTAACAATCTTCTGCCATTGTTTTATTACAGTGAATTGATGTTTTTTTCTCCTTCTTAATGCCCATTCTCTAGAGTGACTACATTTGCTTATCCATTTTATGGATAATGACCGTGTTACTTTTAGGTCCAGTAAATGTCAATTTAGGAGCTCTGGTTGCGTAGTGCCTAAGGCATCTGACTGCTAACCACAAGGTTGGTGGTTCAAAGCCACCAGCTACTCCTCAGAAGGAAGACTGGGTAATCTACTTCTGTAAAGATTTATTGCCTCGGAAACCCAAAGTTGGTTGCTGTGAGTCGGAACTGACTTGACGGCAGTGAATTTGGTTTTGGAATTGTAGATTTGATTTGAACTGTTGTCATTCTTTAGGAATACTTGTATTTTATTACTCCTTTACCACTTGGGTGCAGTTGGTATAAGTTAACCCAGTCACTGGGCTACTAAAGTAAGACTCATCTGTGGTAATATGAGAATATTGTTGAGGTTAGTGGTAATCAAAGACAGGAGACATACTTAATGTGAGATGCTGCTGGAACGCTGAACGGATATGGTTTATTTAGTTGAATCACTTCATACTTTGTTTTGGCATTTTTACCAATCTCATATAACATAGAGAAATTCTTTGGGTTCTTTCAGAATCTTTGGATAAGTGGGAGCGTCTCACAGTAGCTGATGCATTGGAACCAGTCCAGTTTGAAGATGGACAGAAAATTGTGGTGCAGGGGGAGCCAGGGGATGAGTTCTTCATTATCTTAGAGGTAAAGAGGCTGCATTTGATACCCGAGGAGTTGTGTGCCGCGGGAGGGAGAAGATGGGTGAATTCTGGTGATACAGAGCTTTAGTTCTTGAGACTACGTGGTGGTTTTATTTGAAAATGATGTTAGAAATGCTGTTCGGTTTTCTACCAGGCCACGGCATTTTAAATGAGTTTGAGTCAGAATTGAAGAGCCCTAGGCAGGAAGTAATAACCAAATCCTGACTTGAACAAATTAATCCTCAAAAAAAGCCTCAACAATTTAGTGTAAAAAACCATAATGATTTTTCATCTTATAAAGTGCATGTGTTTGGGCTGTTCGTCAAAAGAAGATCAAAGGTGATTGTTAAAAATGTAAAAGTTACTTTTTTTTTTTTTAAATCCATAGCAAATACCCTTGCCTAACAGTTAGATTCAAATAGCAGATTTTATGACTGTGACTCGGTAGCTGCTTATTGATTTACCTGAATCAGGTTGGGAGCCTCTTTCTGTATAGATAGATCCCAGGTGGTAGGTAATGTAGGCTTGGTGGCCTTAGTGTTTCTGCCACAGTGACCCACCTCTGTTGTGGGGCAAAAGCAGCCATTCATAATATGTAAATGAACGGGTGTAGGTGTGTTCCAGTGTGAAACTTCCTTTACAAACCCTGCCAGTGAGCTGGATTGGCTTCCAGCTGCAGGTTGCTGACCCCTTAGCTTAATGAGAAGAACCTTCCTGGGGGCAAGGAGGCCCACACTGGTTTAGTAGGAATCGAGGCTCATGTAGTCAGTGACTAACTACTCAGTTCATCTTTTTTTATCGCATGAAAATGGTTTGAAGTAGCCACTGATTTTTTTTTCGGGGGGGGGGTGTGTGGTGCAAAATAGCTAAAATAACTAAGGTCTTTAAAATGTCAAACCTTGGGTTTGAAAGTATTTTTTTGTGTTTGTGGTGATTTTATCCCAGGGTTCAGCTGCTGTGCTACAGCGTCGGTCAGAAAACGAAGAGTTTGTTGAAGTGGGAAGATTGGGGCCCTCTGATTACTTTGGTACGTGGATTGTCTCACAGTAAATACCTGGTTTTTTATGTCACTTAGCAGTGAGATCCTGTAGTCGTTCATAATTTTTTATCACTTTCTAAGTGTAGTCTCCTTTGGTTTGCAGAGAAATTGTGTGCTATTTTGACCTTTATTCAGTTAATAATTAAGTTGATTTTCTCCTTTATCAGTTTTTGTTTGGTTTTCTGAAGTGCAGATGTTGTTGTCTGTACTAACCTACTAGAGAAACCAGTACTTGTCGTCTCCTCCTCAGAAGGGACAGAGAAGATGTTTCCCCAAGCAGTCAGCCTACTCTCACCCTGCTCCTTTCTCTTCTGCAGGTGAAATTGCCCTGCTGATGAATCGTCCGCGAGCTGCCACGGTGGTTGCTCGTGGCCCCTTGAAGTGTGTTAAGCTGGACCGACCTAGATTTGAACGTGTTCTAGGCCCGTGCTCGGATATCCTCAAACGGAACATCCAGCAGTACAACAGTTTCGTGTCACTGTCTGTCTGAAATCCGCCTCCTGTGCTGCCCTTTCTCCTCTCCCTGGTCCATGCTTCAGTCTCGCAGATGGCTTTATTTTCCCTAATTGCAGCGCCAGGTGGCCACTGGCATCACAGCTTCGTGTCTGTTTATATTAAAGTTGCTTTCCTTGCGCCCTTTTTCATTTGGAGCATTGAGTGAATGCTCGTACACGGTTAAATAAATAGAAAGAGTTCTGTCTGTGGAGACGTTGCTGTCACTGCTTCTCTTTGTGCAGTGTTCGTGTGTCATCTGGGCAGCGAGTGCCGGTGAGGCAGATCCCAGCACCACGTGAATTCTCATAAAGTCATGATGTAATAGTGCAAAATTTTTTTTTTTTTTAAGTGACATAATTTTCTAGTTAAAAGCATATTTTAGATTGTGGCCATATATGCTATTTTTCTTTATAGAATAAATGATTTCTCATTAAGCTCTAAGGATTAGGAAAAATGGATATAGAATAATCTTAGTATAGTAGAAAGACTTCCTGTATTTAAACTATAGTTTAAGGATGGGAGATGCCCATTTTTGCAAATTACAAGATGGATATGATCAGTTTTTTTTTTTTTTTTTCTTTTTTTAACCAGAGTTTGTGTTTGTCGAGCTAATTTGCTTAGTTCTGTTTGTATCTCATTAATGTTTCCTCTCCAGTTCTTATCTTTGGATGTAGCTATTTACACCTGCTTTTTAACTTTGAGACTACATCTTGGCCTGTGATTTGGTTATGGTTTAACTACATCTGCCTCTTCTCAACAAATTGTGATTAGACATTTATCCAGCTAGTGCCAAATACTGATCACCAGTGCTGAATTGAGACTAAGATTTAAGGTCTTCTCTTTACGGTTGTTAACGTAGAGCTTTTGGTTAACATACTTCAGTTGACTCCAGTATAATTGACACTTCTCACACTCTGATTGCAGGAGATTGGATTTTCTGGGGTTAGAAACGGAACAATGTCATGACAGAAAAATGCTACAGGGAGAAATGTCAGATGGACAGAGTTCAGTGTCAGGAACTTTCCCCTGTTGAGTTCATTGGGTGTGAAATTGAGGAAGGACTATTTTATTTTAACCTTTCCTCTCCCCTCCTTTTTACATCAACTGGATTTGTGGTGGGTTGGGGATGGGTGGTGGGATGTGTCTCTGTTGTTCAAATTGGTCTGAAAAACCATCCTGCAGAGGGTCTACTTTCCTCTCTAGCATTTATTTCTCTAGTAAACTTTCCTTTTTTTAAAACAGTGAAATTTGTGTTTTGAGTCTTAACTGTATTTCAGTATTTTCCAGCCTTGTGTGTTGTATTATTCCATGTGCACCGATGATACCCAATGGTTTATTTTTATTGTTATTTTTTAAACAAAATTTCCCAGTTCCATGATGTAGGCGATTTATTTTCCTTGTGATTTCTCTATGATGTAGGGTATATCTGGGAGTGACTGCCAGCCTTTTCCCATCTGTATGCAGCTGGCTCTGATGACTAATCCCCTGTCCCACCCTTTCCCAGGTCACTGAAAGCAGTCACAGTGGATGGTCATTGGTCTGAACACTTTTTAGGTGGTTGCTGAGTTTGGAGTTGAAGTCTGGGAAAGAGGTTTCACATTTTAGTGTGGGACAGAAGTTTACCTTGTTATAGATATTTTTATTTTTCAAAATCTATACTGAATGAGAGTTGTCTGATTTGTACTTTGTGTTTAGCTGCCTTTTTTTTATATTTAAAAAACTAAAAATAAAAATTATCTTATAGCTTAAAGCTTGATTTGATCTTTGTTTAAATGCCAAAAATGTACTTAAAAGAGTTTAGAATGCCATAAAATTGCACAGTTTCATATATGTATATAATCAATGTTCATGTACATTTTAGATACATACCGTGCTTTCTAAGTAAGTTTTACCCAAATCATTTGGCTTGCTGTTTTCTCCTTTTTGTAGTTTTTAATCTTAAATTTTAAGATAAGTCTAAACTTAAAAACTATTACATTTAAAGCTTTATCTTTGTGCAATCTTCTGTATGTGAGAAATCCCTGTTGGCATCGTGTGTCTTGGTTGATATTTTGGGCCATAGCAGTCGTTCTTTCTGGGCTCGGGGAGTGACCTGAGATCTACTGCTCTAGGAAGTATCAGTGGCCAGAGGACCATTCCGTATTGTTCCCTGGCTCACAGTCTGATTGTACTGTATGTGCTCATAGAATCTTTCTGTTATAGATTGTCTTAATGGTAGGTCAAATAATAATAATAAAAAAAAGATTACATAATTTAAATTCTTAAATGTAAACGGTTTTTCTTCCCTTTCTCCTTCTGTCTCTATATCCTCCACCTCCAGAAATCTCCTACTCTGCTGTGTGAGAATGAAAGTAAAAGTGAATTATGAGATCATTGTTTTAAAAGAATGATGTGTTTTATTCTCAGTGATTCCCACTTTCAGTTAAAGGATGGATCTCACACCTTGATGGAAGGGTAACTGAGATCTGGCTGATAAATCTCTGGAGTCAAAGAAAGAAGGGATTATTCAGTCAAAAGCCAAAATTTTCCTTGTTGAAGACAAAGATTGCTTCTGTAGCCTTGGAACTTTATCCTAGACTTAATGGAGAAATATTTCTAGATTAGCATGTTTTTAGAAAGGAGCTCTGGTGGCGTAGTGGGGAAGGCATATAGATAGATAGATAGATAGATAGATCTGTTAACCAGAAGGTCAGCAGTATGTAGGTAGAGACTTGCATATGTTTTTGTGTTTGACATACAAAAAGCCTTATTTTTAATGCTTATTACTCAAATTTTCCAGATGATGACGTTGTAGTCATTGATGGGTTGATATGATCATTTTTTCACATCCGGTGATGCTGGAGATGATGTATTCTAGAAAAACATGAATTGGTGCTGTATTGCAACATGTGCACCTTGTCCAGGTTCAGCGGTCCCTTTCTCCAACCCACGGGAACTGAAATCTCTAGAATTCCAGCAGAATACAACTAAAGAAAAATTTCCTGGCTTGACTGCCCTGGTTAGTTACAGTTTAATTCGCTTTCTCAAATGGCAGCTCAGTAGGATCATTTTTTGTGTCTTAATGA